TCTCTGATAGCTGTAGCATATTGTTTTATGCTTTCATCAGGTAATTGTTTTCTTTATTTTAGTTATTGTTGCTATTCATATAGGTAATTATGATTTCTAAAGTGCTTTTCAAATTGATATATGAATAAAGCTTCTTTTACATTCTGATTAGTGTTATCAGCATAATTCCAGGTTCCTGGCTATTCTGAATCATGTAATTTTTCATTAACATATCATATGACTGCTAAATCTTTCAGATAAGCTCTTACTATCTGAATTTTTTTGTCATTGCTAATACTATTAGCAATATGGGCATTTTCAAAGTCTTGAAGCCAGCCAATTGGATCTTGAGTATCACTATAGAATTCTATAATTTTGATATAATTGGCTTCCTTTGGTCTTCCTAAAGCTATAGTAAGTACTCCAATTCTATATATCAAATCTTCAAATCTATTATTAGTAGTTGATGAAAATGATATCTTATTCTTCTTGTCTCTACTTATTTTTTCTTCAAATAGTATTGTGAAAATAAAAGTTAAAATAATAGATATATCTTAAGTAATTGACTGTATTTCTAAAATTTATTAAGTGATGATTGTGCTAATATTTATTCAAAAGTATCTGGATTATATTTTCCAAACTGTTACAAGGTGTCTATTAATTCTTTATTTGACTTTGACTGCCTTGGATTAGGTACTTTTATAGGTATATCTTGTTGTTTTTTTGTCTATATTCTGTTAGATATTTAGTTTTCTTGTCTTTAAATTCAAATATCTCTTATTATAATTTATAAAAATATATTTGTATTTGTTTTGTTGATAGATCAGTTTCTTTTTTTATTAAGGTTACAAATTTTTCTCTTGCCTTGATTTGAGTTTTATTATGTATTATTTCTTGATAAAAATGATAGAATTTATCTCAGATAATCTATTGGTTAGATTCAGTATAGTCTTCAAGATGTAACTATATAAATAATTAAGCGAAGAGTCTTTTTCTTTCTACTTTGGTTTCTTTAGTTAGATTCACTTTGGGTATATTGCAAAATTATTTCTTTAATTACTTTTGATTTTCTACTAATTTCAATTTTAATTTACAGAGGATTCTTTATCTAGATCTGACTTGAATTTGATGACTTTATAGAATTGTTTTTCTATAGAGGGGATACCAAAAAGTTGTTATCTTTTTGGTATGAATTTGATCTGAGAGTGAGTATTAATTCTAATATTACAAAAGCACATAATAAAAGCAACTATATACTTAAAGTAATGTTTGAAAGAGTCTTTAAAGAGTTTATTAATAAGAATATATCTACTATTATTTCAAGAGTTATTTAAAGGTAGGTAATAATAGTATTCTTGTTATGACTAGCTAGAATATAATTCAATTCCAAAATATAATTTCAAGACAGATGTAATATTCAGTTTATTAACAAAATAAAATAATAAATCTTAATCAAGATCTATTCTACAAGAGAGATTCCTTAGAATTTTCTTAAAACTATAATTTACTTAAAGTGTGAATTGAGAACTAAACTTATAGAACTCAAACTAAACTAAATAACTAACTATTTATAAACTATCTGTTAACTTCCTATCTAAATTTACTAGCTAAAATATATTACTTTTATATATTTTAGAGATTATACAAATGATATTTTTATTATGATACTTATGTTAGTTTTGCTATGATCTAAATATTACTTTAGCTAGTATCATAATGTTGATTTTATTATGATAGCATTATTAGTTTTGCTATGATAGTTTTGCTAATTTTGCTATAATAATTTTGCTATAATCATCATGTTTTGTGAAATCTTCTAAAAATATCTACAAATAATATTCTCTAAAGCTAATATCTAATAAGATATAAAGAATTATTTATTTAATCAAATTGTGACATGAAGTGACCAATAATATATAATTAACTAATTTTTTACTAAAAGTTCATATCATAATAGTATTCAATATATTACTTTATAAATTTATATTTCTTTAATTTGATATAAAGTTTATATTTATGAAGTTTAAAAGAATAATATGAAGATAATTAAGATATTTTTTTAGTATTGCTAAATACAAGAGTATTATTAAGATAAATAATAATAAATTTATTTAAATAATTATAAAAAATATTATTTATAAGAGTTATAAGAGTTTCAGACATGTTAGTAAGGCCAAAGGGTAATACAAAAAATTTATAGTAATCATATCTTATTTTAAATATAGTTTTATAAATATCTTCTTTCTTGATTCTAATTTAATGATATTTAGAATAGATATCTAATTTAGAAAAGTATTATACTCTAGCTAAGTAATTTATTAATTTATCAACATAAGATAAAGAATAATAATTTTTAATTGTAATTTTATTCAAAATATAATCTATATAAAGTTTCTTTTTTATATACAAATAAGACAGATATTCTAAATAGTGAAAGACTTGGATAAATAAAATCTTTACTAAGTAAATCAGATAGTTATTTCTTCAGTTTATCCATTTCAACATAAGATAAATAATATATAGAATGAGATAATAATTCAGAGTTAGATATTAAATTAATAACATAATTTATAGTATATTTTGATAGTAACTCATTAGGAAGTGAAGTAGAAAATATATTAGTAAATTCTTTAATTAGTTGGATAACTTCATGAGAAATTGATACTTCTTGATATATTTCTTTTATTATAATACAAATAATAAATAACTTAATATCAGATAGAATTTTAATGAATTATTATTAAGAAATATAAAGTGAACTGTAACTAGATGCAAATTTATCTTTGCTAATATTAATCTTGATTACTTTATTATTATAGTTAAATATTATGGAATTACTATATCAGTCAATAGTAAGATTGATATAATAAAGTTATGATTTACTAAGTATAAGATTATAGTATTGAATATTAAAAACTTATATGCTAATATCAAATATATAGTAAATATTTAACTTTAATTCTTTAATTATTATAGATGAGTTAACTTTCTTTTTATAATTATCAGCAAGTTCTATAATAATTAGATTTATATTATGTATTTGTAATTAATTATTCTAAATATATATTTCATTAATAAAATTATATAATGCTTCACTATCAAGTAAAATTCAGATAAACTTTTCATTTATATAGCTATTAAATTTCAGAAATTTCTTGTGATTATCCTTAAGATAAGCAAATTTAATATTATTATTTTATGTGATAATTGTATTATTACTATTATCTTCAATATTATTAACTTTAGCTTTTTCTTTTGAATAACAATTCTTGACAAAATGACCTGATTTGTCATAGTTATAATAATTATAGTTATTATTATTTCTATTACAGTTATTATTATTATTATTACTATTATTATTATATTAATAAGAATCTTTAGCATAATCTAGTTCTATAGATGTGAGACTAGTATTATTATACATATTATTAAAAGAAAAATTCCAGTTTCTTTTATATTTTTAATTGTGCTTATGATTACTATTTTTAAGAGGATGATTAATATCAAATATAGCTATATTATAATAAATTGCAAGTTTTTAGACATTATCAAAAGTTTCTAATACTTAATATATTACTTCTATTTTAGTTGTAAATTTGAGATCATTAATAAAATATGTGACTTGATCTAATTCTTCTATTCCTTCAATTTATTCTATAATATTTCTGAATTTAATATTATATTTCTGTATAGTACTAGTTTGATAAAGTTAATAAAGCTAATAATGAAGATATTATTAATAGTTAGGTAATTGAAATATATTATAAACTTCAGTAAGAAAAGATTCTCAATTTTCAAAAATATAATTTTCTCTAGCAATATATATTTTATTCAAATACTAATGAAGAGTGACATCTTCAAGACCAGTTCTAGTATATAGAATATAAGTTTATTCATCTGTAATTCCTTGTGTAAGTAATATTTCAGTTACTTATAATATCCAAATATTAATATTTTTATGAAATTCTTCTTTATATATTAAAATCTTGAGAGAAATTCTTGATACAGAAGGATTAGAATTTTATTAATCATTACTATTAGTATTATTATTACTATTATTATTACTAAGAGCAGTAATAAGTTATTACTATTATTAGATGAGACTAGTAAGACTGATGAAAAGTTATTAAAATTATTCACTTGAGAAATCAAAATCAATTATTATAAATATATATGTATATACACTCCTCTAAAATAAGTATCGGACCCTCTTTCAATTTAAATTGCTCAATAATCCATATAATAATTGACCTCAATTTTTTTACAGTTTATAAAGTAGCTTTACAAGTAACTATTACAAACTTAATATTTTGTTGGCCATTCATTTTTAGTAATACATGCTTCAACTTGTCATGATATACTTTTCACTAAACCTATATAAACATATTCAGAAATTTGAATCCACTCGTTCTGTAAGATAATTTCTAACTCTCTAATATTTTTTGGATATTTCGAATAATTTTGAATATGACGTTCTAATTCTGACCACAAATGCTTAATTGGATTCAAGTCAGGCAATTGACTTGGCTAATTGGATAATATTTTAATCTTCTTCATCATAATTCACTTACCAACATCCCTGGCCATGTGAACAGGTGCATTATCTTGTTGAAATATGTAATCTTTTTCATTAAATTTGGTACTAATATAAGGTAATAAATGTTTCTCAAGTATTTTTATGTAGGATAATCTATCTATTTTGCCTTCTATTTTAACAAGTGGACCCAATCCCTTACCTGAAAAGCAACTCCATACCATTAACTCACCATCACCATGTTTTACTGAAGGAATAAGGTTTTCAATATTAAAGTATGTTCCAGGAGTTCTCCAAATATGTCCTGGTCTATCTGTTTTAAATATAGTAAACTGACTTTTATCACTCCAAATAATATTTGTCCATTTTCTAACTGACTATTCTTTTCTCTTAAGACACCAATTGAGTCAATTTTCTTTTTATTATGATGAGAGAAGAGGTTTTGCTACTGGAATGCAAGAGTGAAATCCAATCTTATGCAAATACTTTATAAGAGTGCAGTCAGAAACTTGAATGCCAGTCTTTTCTCTAAATTTTTCATTAAGCAAGAGAACTAATGCTCTTTTGTATTTTTTTACAATTTGTTTTAACTTGTGTTTGGCTTTGGTATCTATAGATTGAGAATGATTACTTCTCGGTACAGTTTTTGTGCTTTTTCTATCATGATAATTTTGAATTGTCTGCGTAATTATCATTTTAGCAAAGCCTAAAGTCTTATTAATATCATTTCTCAAAAAATCAGCCTTGTGAAAACCAATAATCTGATAGTGTTCACTTTTAGTCAATTCTGAATTTTTAGATATTTTATTATTAAAATCAAAATCAGGCATTTGTAATTTAGACAAGTCCACCTTTTATTTTATAAACAATTAATAATCAATATAAATAATGTGTAACTTGCTATATATATTTATGAGATACTAGCCTATAACATGTAAAAATTTGGAAATAAATTATTATATATGCTGTCATACAAATTAAAAGTAAAGGGGGTCTGATACTTATTTCAGGGGAGTGTATATATGATTATATATGTGTTGAGTATGAAGAAGAAAGTATATAGAAAGAAAGAAGTTATTAGTATGTATATATGTATATATATAATGTTAATATTTTCTGCTGCTATCAAAATTATAATCTTTCTAGTTATATTATATAATATATCAGAAAAATTCACATAGAAGATTCAAGATATATAATAATATTAGTTAAAATAAAATTCATACAAAAAACTAATTCAAGACAAACAAGATTATTATATTTAAACTTATTCTTTATTATATTATTATTATTATTATTAAAAATATAAAATAGAAATAGTATTTTTAAATAATAATTTAATATTACATAAAATTAATAATATAATAAATAATATAATAAATATAAATTAATAATAGATAATACTTATATGATAATATCTTTAGAAGATGCTTATTAATAAATAAATAAATAAATAATTATAAATAAAATATATTATTATAGTAATATACTAGCTAAATTAATAGAACAAGAGAAAAGAGAAATTCTATTAAAAAAACTATTCATAGCTAAAATAACTTAAGTATATCATGTAATTTTATAAGATAATTTTTATGATGCAGTATTACATATAGTACAGTATGTGATATAATAATGATCTGTGAAAGAAAATTAAATTTGTTATATAATTATCACTCATAATAATAATATAATAAAAGTCATCAGAATAATAATTTTATACCTATAGAACTAGATCAAGCAGAAAGTTATTATAATTATGGAAATAATAATAATTATCAGAAGAATAACAAGTCTAAAAATACATATTATAACTATAACAAATTAAATTACTTTATCAAGATTACAAACATAAAAAATAAGCAAAAAGAATCTTTATAATCTTATAAAAGAGTTGAGTTTACTTATTTAGAAAATAATAAAGAAAGATTATTAAAATTTAATGATCAAGTAAATAGCAAATTAGTATGAGTTTTACTAGATAATAATATATTAAGAAACTTTGTAAATAAAAAGTTTGTTCAGAAAAATAAAGTTAAGTTACAGAAAACTATATCAATTACAATTGAACTTACAAATAGCAAAAAGATAATAGTCATCATTATGATAAAGATTGATAAGTTTAAATTAGATATATATAAAATACATAAGATAAATATACAAGTTTTAAAGTTACAGAAATATGACTTAATTCTAGATAAATCTTGATTATTTTATACTGACTCAATTATAAACTAGAGAAATAATATTATAATTTTTACTTATAGATTAAAGATAATAAAAGTGCAAGCTAATAATAAAGTAAAGTTAGACTTTAACTGAAATTCAATTTATATTTCAAGATAATAAATTACTAATCTGTTAGCAAATACAAAACTATTTATTATACATCTTAATAATATTGAAGATAAAGAAGAAGCAAAAGAAAAATTATTTTTACTAGAAGTTTTAGATATTAAAAGAAAATATAAAGATTTATTTTTTAAAATCTTACCTAGCTAACTACTATCTAAAAGAATAATTAATTATAGAATTGATCTTATTTCAGAATCTGAATCATTATTCAGATTTTTCTATAGACTTTCTTTTACAGAGATAAATGAGCTCAAGAAGAAATTAGCTGATCTTATTCAAAAAGAATTTATTTATCCAAGTATTTTACTATTTGAAATTTCAATGCTTTTTATATATAAGAAAAAAATATATTAAGATTATATATTAACTACAGAGCATTAAATAAAATCACTATCAAGAATTACTATTTATTACTAAGAGTTAATAAATTGATAGACAGACTCACAAGATTAAAATATTTCTTAAAGCTAGTTCTATATTCAGAATATTATCAAATTTATATTATAAAAGAAGATATATATAAGATAATATTTAGAACTTACTATAAATACTATAAGTTCTTAGTTCTATTTTTTGAATTTACAAATATATTAATAATCTTTATAATACTAATAAATAATATATTTTATAATTATCTTGATAAATTTGTAATTATATACTTGGATAATATTCTAATATATAGTAAAATTAAAAAAGAACATATTCAATATCTTTAGATAGTCTTGAAAATATTTTGCAAGTATAAATTATATGTCAAATAGAAAAAATATAATATTATATAATAATATATAGAATATTTAAAATATTTTATCTTAGCAGATAATATCTTAGTTGATTAAAGAAAGATTATTATAATTAAAGATTGGCCTGCATTAACAAATATATCAAAACTTCATTTATTCTTAGAATTAGTTAGCTATTATAAAAAGTTTGTAAAAGAATTTTCAGTAATTATAGTATTACTTATAGTACTATTATATAAAGATCAAGAGTATAAATAATTTATCATAATGCAATAAGTATTTAACACTTTGAAATAATATTTTATAACTGTATTAGTCTTGTTATTGTCAGATCTAAAATTACTATTCACAATTATAACAGATACTTCAGATTTTATTATTAGAGTTGTGTTAAATCAAAATCAAGACAAGAATAATTAACTAATTACTTTTGAATCAAGAAAACTTTTATTAACAAAACAGAACTATTCAGTTCATAAGAAAGAATTACTTGTAATAGTTCATATTATTAGATTCTGAAAATTATATCTAGAAAATTAAAAGTTTATAGTTATTACAAATCATATCTCTCTGAAATATATAAAAATATAACACAATCTTTTTAAGAAATAGACTTATTAGTTAGAAATTCTACAGATTAATAACTTTAATATCAAATATAAGTCTGATAAAGATAATATAATAATAGATATACTCTCACATCAATTACATCTAGTAAATATTTTAGTTATTATTATCAATCTGATCAAAAAAGAAGACTTGATAAAGAAATATCAAGTAGATAAATATTTTGTAAAAATTTATAAAATCTTAAAGAACTTTAGTAAAATAATATTAAAGTAATAAATCAAGATGAAAAACTTTAAATTAAAAGAAGAATTATTATATTTGAAAAATATAAATTATCTAATTATAATCTTCTTGTTATGTAGTATAATATATCAGAAAAATTCATACAGAAGATTCAAGATATATAGTTATGTTATTGAAATAGAATTCATACAGAAAACTAAATCAAAAGCAGACAAGAGATTATATTTTTAAAACTTATTCTTTATTTAATATTAATGGTACTTGATACTTAAAATTACAGAACAGATATAGTATCTTTAAATAATAAATTAATATTACATAAAATTAATAATAAAATAAATAAATTAATAATAGATAATACTTATATAGTAGTATCTTCAAAAAATGTTTATTAATAGATAAATAAAGAAATAAATAATTATAAATAAAATATATAAATTTGGTAATATACTAGCTAAATTAATAGAACAAGAGAAAAGAGAAATTTTACTAAGAAAACTATTTATAACTAAAATAACTCAAATATACTATATAACTTTTCTTGGTATAATTAGATGATTGTGGTATAGTAAGTTATGTGTGGTGCAGTATGTGATGCAGTAATAATCTGCAAGATAAAAGATAAATCTAATATAATTATTAATAATTAATCTAATTTTGTTATCTCTTAAGAATCAATATTCTCATTAATATTTTGATTCAAAAAATTTCACAAGTTTTATAGCATTATGAAGATTTTTCAAGGGTTTCCAGATAGAATCATGAAGAGAGTAACCTAGCCATTTAACTAAGTATTGAAGTTTATTTCAAATGATTCTCTTATTCAAGATTACTTCTACTTCATATTCTTCTTTATTAGTTTCAGGTATTATGATTGACTGTAATGATATTGGATAAATAAAATCTTTATTATTATTAGGATTATATAATTTTAACAATGAGATATGAAAGACAGAATATATTCTCATATGTGAAGATAAATTCAGTTTATATATAACAGGTGAAATGACTTCAAGAATAAAGAAAGAACTAATATATTTAGATATAAGCTTTTTATTAGAGTGTTGTTTATCTACAAGATCAATAATATTATGAGTTAAAAATAAGACTTGATTTCTAATTTTAAATTCTTGAAAATAATAATGTTAATTAGCATATTTAGTTTAATGATCCTGTGCTTCCATTAATAAGTCTTTTGTATCTTTTATCATATTATTCCAGTATTGAACAAATTTATTAGCAGTGGCAACTTTATTATCTGTGATGAGTGTTGTTAATTAGATGTTGACCATAATCTAATTCAAAAGATATATGATCAGAAGAAACTTGAATTGAATTATTATATGCAAATTCAGCAGCAGTAAGATATTTATTTTAGTAATCTTGATTATAAATAGAATAGATTTATAATATTTCTTCTAAAGTGCAATTCATTCTCTCAGTTTGTCTATCAGTTTGTGAATGAAAAGCAGTTAACATAGCTACTTTAGTATCTATTTATTCAAATAGTGATTTTCAAAAGTGACTGATAAATTTAGCATCATAATCTGAAATTATAATATGAGGTAGTCTATATAATTTAAAAATATTATTGAAGAATAATTTGGTGACTTCAGATATAGTAACAGTAGTATGAATAGGAATAAAATAAGCTTATTTAGTAAGATGATTGATAATAACTAGAATTACATTGTGTTCTTGGTAAGTTATAGGTAATTATATAATAAAATCCAAAGTAATTTATTTCTAGCACTGTTCAGATATTTTTAAGAGTTATAAAAGACCTGAGAATAACTGATTACTAGATTTATTTCTTTGGCATTCTTCATAATTAAAAATATATTTATGAATATTCTTAAATATTTTTGATTAGTAATATGATTTTTGTAAATACTCATAAGTTTTGTCAATTTCTAAATGAT